GCATAATAACTAAAACACAAAGGAGCACAAAGAACAATGTGAGGATGTTAGAATACACCTAATTTCTATTCTAAAATCACAGATTTTAAACTAAAAGAAGATGTCACTGGGCAAGGGAAGTTCTTTTGGTTGCAGCCACTGTACTTTTCTGGGCATCAGAGAGAATGGTTCTTTAGGGGAGGGGATAGCCAGCTGGACACTCTGGCCAAATTCCAGTAATTTAAAAGTAAAATAAAATAGAGCAAGACATTTAACATAGCAACCATAATCACAATGCAGGTCCAACTGAATTATCTTTAGAACTAAAGTCACCACAATAAAAAGGCATGATTATGGAATTAAAAATTATATACAATAATATTTTTATTTTTTGGAATCTAGTCTTATGTAGCTCAGCCTAGCCTCCAACTCATGAAAATGACCTCAAAGTCCTCAATCTCCTGTCTGTCAGGTGAGCCACCATGCCCAGAACACACCATTCTCTGTGAACACAGCCATAGGCAATACACACCTAGTTATGGAGCAGACAGTGAGAACACCAGTGTGAACTGATAGTTGTTACACTGATGACCTTGTATCTTTTGATTAACTATTTATCAACAACTATCATAAACTAGGCAACAGGAGGGATTAGAAGAAATTTCTAGTTTGTATAGGTTTTACAGTCAAAATGGGGAGATTTAAAGATGTATATTATATACTAACAAAAGGATCCAAGTGTATATCCACCAATTTTCATAGTTCAAAACTTCAAGATGTCCAGTGCAGGGAGTGGAGAAAGTCCAGCATAGATGTGTGTTGTTGACACGAGCTGCCCATGCCAAGGATCCGAATGCTTCAAGCCCATAGGAAAATGACAGCTCCCTGCTGAGGCTCAGAGAAATGGCAAAGCCTTCTTTGGGAGTCCATGCGAACACAGTGTTCTCCTGGGGATATCTAGGGTGTGAAGACTGTTCTTTAACCCACTTTGACTGAATGCAGCTAAACCTGCCTCCCTGACCCAGCGGTAGACTATAAGTCCTGACTCCTTGTTCCACTTTATGTATTAAACTTACACAGAAAACTCAGTCTACCATATCCCAGATTTTTTTTCCCCTGTGTGTGTCTGTCTTTTCTGCATTCCTTCTTCAGTCACCCGGTCTGTCCCTGAAGGCCATGCAACGGACTGAAGTCAAGCAATGGAGTTTATGTGGCTTTTTAGGAAATTTTTTACTAACTAAATGATTATGGAATTGGGCTGGACACAGTGGCGCACATCTATCCTATAATTCCAATACCAGGGAGAATAAAGGCAAGTGGATCTCTATGAGTCTGCGGTCAGACTGGTCTACATAGTGAGTTCCAGGCCAGTCAAGGCTACATAATGAGTCCTGCCTAAATAAACATACATACGCAGACAAGTGTGTGTGACAGAGTTCTCTACATGCCTCTTAGGGCAGACACAGGTGTTAGCACTACACTTGGGGAGTCAGAGATGATCTGGATGGAAATCTTTGACTCTTTCTTCCCAATCATTTTATGTATGTATAAATTTTGATTTTTCTGTTTTATTTTTTGAAAAACAGCCTCTGTGTAATAGCCCTGGCTGTCCCTGAACTCATAGAGATCCACCTGCCTCTGCCTCCTGAGTGCTGGACTTAAAGGTGTGTGCCAGTACTGCCAAGCTTTGACTTAAAAGACAGGGTCTTACTATGTGAGCCCAGAATGACTCTGAGCTGGAAACCCTCATTCCTCAACTATCCAAGTGCTGGAATTACAGGAACAAGCCTCCATGCTCTACTCTGTATGTTTCTTATCTCTCTATACAAGTACCCTAAGATATTAATATTTACTGTGTTTGGTTTTGAATTTTACATACACTGAATAATGTGTGTGTGGCTTCTTTCTTGCAATACTATTTTATAAGAATATCTATTCCAGTCTATGATTTCATTGTATAAAATATGCTAAAAATTTGTCCATTCTATAGCTGACATTTAGCTTTTGGTGGGGAAGCTTTGTTAACCAATTATCTTTAAGAGCTAGGACCAAGTTAAGGTGTAGCTTTCTGGAACCCGAAAATGGGCACACAGCCCAGGTGCGCTCTCTGTGGTTCCCTTGCAGCACAGCTGAGCTTGGACTTCTTGTTTATGTTTTGTGAGTTTTACCTTTATAATAAATAAAAATATAATTATTTTATCTTTTAGCTACCCTGGTTATTTCACGAATTGAGCTAACTTCTACATTTGGTGCCCAAATTGTGGGGCTCGGGTCTCCAGCAGCTCTAGCCAGCTGCCATCAGACTCCACGTTGTTCATTTGGGTATAGAATTTCCACACAACGGCCCTGAGTAGCCGCAGTCCTTCATATTTTCTCATTAAACATCTCAGCTGGCTTCTGGGTCCAGTCTTTTTCCACAGCGTGGAAACTCAGGTGGGATGTGGGCTTCCCCGGGTGCCTCTCCTCTGTCTGACATCGCTACCTTGCTATTCTTGTGCTTGTGTAACTGCTGACCAATCAGGGACCTCCGCAGAGAACACAGTCTGTGATTTACACTAAATAAATGTTTTTAATTTGAGTGTATCTTTCAGCATTTAACGCTAAAATCAGATTCAAACTGACCACATGGCTACAAGTGTGCCATGACACCTACTGGCAGATAATGGTTATTGCCCCTACTCCAGCTCAAACTCAACCACAAGTAAGATGTATATTAAAATATAAATTTATAAGTTTAAAGGGTAAGATTATGGACAATTCAGCAATCCAGTTCAATAGCTTTTTTACTTATACCATGTATGATATTTTTGCAAGGTTTATATGATTTCCCTCCTACATCCCTCTATTTGATTCTGGGGATTAGCTTTGTCCTTCATATTTTCTCCTTAAAAACATGGTTTGATAATAGGGCCAAGAATGAGGCACTTTAAAAAATAATACAGTCTTTACAGACTGATACTAAGCAACTAAAAGGTAAATTCAGCACTCTGGAAAAGGACGCAACCAATTTGACAAAACTCAGTCAATGACAGAGGGTGCTGAGATATTGTCTGAGAGAATTCATACTGCTGAATGTATTAATCAGACTTTGTCAAATGTTATGATAGATTGAATGATAGAATGTCCCTCTAGAAAGGTAACATGCATACTATAAAAATTATGTCCAAGGATGAGACGTTATCTTTACTGGACAGACTTCACACCCTGGAATCCTCAATGAGAGCATTAGAACAGAACACTGGAGAGGAGATCCAGACTTTACAAAAGGCAGTGGTAAAAAGATTTGAAAAGATTGAGGAATTTATCGAATTTGACAACCAGGGACAAAAGGTACAAAGACAAAATGTAGCCTCATTAGTAAGTACCAAAAACCCAGAGTTATACCTGCTCTTCCAGTGATATCATCAGAAAGAGAATCTGGTACCAAATACCCTATGGTAGTTAAAGAATATACATGGGAGCCCATATGTATGACTGATCTAAAGGAAATTAAACAAGCAATTGTATCTTATGGAATGCATTCGTCCTTTCTTTAGGAAAATGGTCAAAAAGTGGGCTTCAATTAACAAAGCAATGCCACAAGACTGGATTCAGTTGATCTCCACCAGTCCTAAAAAATGGACTTCAGTTGCTCTGGAAGTGTTATTGGAGAGAAGAAGCAAAAATTTTAGATAAACAGGGAAAAGCAAAAGGACTTGAGATTTCCCAAGATTAAATTCTGGGTGAGGGACATTACTCTGATCCTCAGGATCAGGCTTTTTACGATGAACACACCTTGTCCCTACGTAGCACAGAAGTTTTAAATGCTTGGGACAGGATTCAGAACAAGGAAAGAGAATTGAATGATATATTAGGGTTAAAACAGGGTCAGAGAGAACCCTTTAGTGACTTTTTAAAGTCTAACTAAGGCTGTACAGAAAGAGGCAACAGACCCAGAAGCTAGATGTGTACTAATTGAATCTTTGGCTTTTGAGAATGCCAACTTAGAATGCAAAAGGATCCTTGGGCCTTTAAAGGTCAGATCAGCACCAATGGATTAATGGATCTTTCATACAATGAATGTTGAGACACTTGACTATGGTACTGAAGCTTGGATAGGAGAAGCAATTTCCAATAGTATGAGGAGACATCAAAATACCAAATGTTTTAATTGTGGTAGAATAGACATCTGAGAAGGGATTTTAGACAAGGAATTCCTAGGAATAATGTCTCCTCTGGAAATGGCAAGAATAGGAGGACTCAGCCTTCAGGTGTATGTAGGAGGTGTGGCAAAGGCCAACACTGGACCAATGAATGTAGGTCAACAAAGGACAGACAAGGCAACCTGATACCATCGGAAAACTCCTTGGGGGGCCTGAAATGTGGCCCAATCATTCTCAGTTACTGTGAAAAACAAGTCTCACCAGAAAAAATTTTAAAAATCCAGTGTCTACTGTAAAAAACCATACTGGTCTGGATGATGGAATAGATGTGGAGGATGAATTGAACACTCGAGTAGGACATAGAAAACATATATTCTAGCAGACTGACCAGGCCATCTCCTTGCCCCTCAGTACTTCATTATTAAATATGAAATATCATTCCACTGTATAGATAAACAATTTGTTTACACACTCACCTATTTTTTTTTGAAAAATGTATATTCTTTTAAGATCTTTGAAATCAGAAGACATTCCTAATGCTTAGGTTTTCAAGTACTTAGATGTGTTCTCTCTCTCTGAGTCACTGAGTGAAACTCATCAATACAAAGCAACCAACCTCACAAAAGAGCCATCAGAGTCACAAGCAGGTGGACACCCACTCCACTTATCTTGAAGAAAGGACTTCAGTAGCGAGCATTAGGCTCACACAGTCAGTGGGTACAGATTTAGAATATAACAGTGTAGCAGATGATAGACTACAGATTGGACTATCTGTATTAGACTACTTACTGGTCTAATAAACCAAAGCCCATCACATGGAGGCCAGCTGAGGTGAACACATGGGGGTGGGGATGGGGATGACTAACAGGAGAGCCTTACTGTTATTGGTGCTGTTGCCATTGAAAGGCCCGGAAGAGCTGCTACTGTCTTTCTCCTTATCTTGGTTTTCAAAGTCCATATTAAGAGACCTATAAGAAAAATTGAACAGGTAAATTTCAGTTTTGCTTAAGAACTTAACAAGGCCAGTCATTAGACAGTGTTCTAAAATGTTAAGCTACTAGGGAAATGATGATCTCTTCTAAACTATGGATACAGTCTACCAGCGTCAGTTCAAGAATTCTCCTGACTACAAAGTGCACTCCAGTGTAGCTGTTTCTTTCAGTGTCTCTCAACACTTCATTATTTCCTTTCTTTTGCTTTTTCAAGACAGGGTTTCTCTGTGTAACAGCTCTGGCTGTCCTGGAACTCACTCTGTAGACCAGGCTAGCCTCAAACTCACAGGGAGGGATCTGACGGCCTCTGACTCTGGAGTGCTGGGATTAAAGGTGGGTGCCACTATTGCCTGGCTTTATTTTCTCGTGATAAAAATCTGAACAGAGAAATGCTGTGTAAGAGCAAGCACATTTTGGGACTTTTATACCCAAGCAACAGCTTTTAGAGAGGGTACACTGAAGACTCCCTAAGGTGAAAACATCCGTGCTTCTAACAACATTCTTAAAATTGAATAAACAGCTGGGCGGTAGTGGTGCACGCCTTTAATCCTGGCACTCAGGAGGCAGAGGCAGGTGGACCTCTGAGTTGGAGGCCAACCTGGTCTACAAGAGCTAGTTCCAGGACAGTTAGGGCAGTGACACTGAGAAAACCTGCCTTTAAAAACCATTAAATGAATAAATAAAACAAAATAAAATAAAGATAAACAAAGGCCACTTACACCAAGATGGAAGAAAATACCTGTAATCATGCAACTGGTAAGAACTTGTAGAGAATGGCAAGAACATTCTAGCTAGGTTAACAGTCAAGTGTTGGGAAGGACAAGGCTGGGAACTTTACACACTGAGGTGCTGATGTTAATTGGGTCTGTCAGTCTGGCCAATAGTCCAATCATGCATCTCATTTTGGAGTTCCAGCCTCCAGAACCCTGAGAAAGTAAATTTCTGTTGTCTAAGCTACCTAGGTCATACGGTATTTTGTATGGTAGCATGAGTTAATAAGGAGTACAGACCATGTTTGTATTATTTCAACTTGTTTCATGTGTTTTGGTATGTCCAATATTAGCAAATATCTTACTACATGTTAGGAACGTGTTTTGTTTGGGGGCACTTCACAAACGCCAGCTAGAGTAACCCGACAGAGAGCACTAATCAAGTGGGGCTGTCAGGATTGCTCAGTCAAGACTGCAGTGCAGTCCTGAGTTTGGATCCCTAGAAACCGTATCATAAGGTGGCACACATATGTAATCAAGTACTGGGAAAAAGGGAGTGTGTGTCACAGAACCAGGCAATCCATGAAGCTCACTCGTCAGCCAATCTAGCCCAACTGATGAGCTCAGAGTTCCATGAGAGACAGACAAACAGACTGAGGAAGAAGACACCAGCTATCTACCTCTGACCTGTACATGGCATGCACACATGACACAGACAGACAAGACATTAAATTCACTATACTGTTGTTCATTTTATTCCTACTTGTCTTGTTCAATTATTGAATGAGGGACATTTATCTGTAGTTATATTTGTGGGGTTTGTTTTCTTCTGTCTACGAGTTTTAATTCTAAGATCTTTTATCATATATGAATAGGCATTTAGGAGGTCCAGTGAGATGACTCTGTTGCAAGTCCAGCTACCTGGATCCCACGTGGTGGAATGAGAGAACTGGTTACAGCAAGTTGTGTGTGTGCACACACAGGAGAGTATTATTAATTATGAATGCTCGGCCTTAGCTTAGGCTTGTCCCACCAAGCTCTTTTACCTTAATTTAACCTATCTCTAATCATCTACCTTTTGCTTCGGTGCTTCTTACCTTTCTTTTGTTCTGTATGTCCTACTTTTCCTCCTTTTGTGTCTGTCTGGCCCCTGGCATCTCCCTGTTGTCTCCTTTTTGGTCTAAATTCCTCCTCCTACCTACTCTTCTTGCACAGAAGTCCCACCTATACCTCCTCCCTTGCTATTGGACATGCAGTTTTTTTATTAGACCAATCAAGTGACTTAGGCAGGCAAGGTAAAACAGCAACAAATCTTTACATAATTAAACAAATGCAACATAACTTTATATAGTTAAACAAATATTACACAACAATATTCTCTTATAAAAGTTAACACTCAGGGCTATGTTCTCTGTGGAAATGCAGACAGAGAACTCTATCTTTCCATTGATGAGTATAAGCAACATGCATCTTTTCCAGGCCTTTTAAAGTCTTTATTTATTATTTGTCCCCCTGCCCCAAGTCAGGGTTTCTTTGTGTAGCCTTGGCTGTCCTGGGACTTGCTCTGTAGACCAGACTGGACTGAAACTCAAGAGAGAGATCCATACCTTCCTCTACTGCTGGGACTAAAGGCATGTCCAACCATTTTAACTTTTTCAATTTTGTATTTATGCTAATTATGTTTTTCTGCATATGTATAAGGGTGCACATGCATTTATTCCGTGTATATGTATGGAGATTTAGAGGTAAGTATTAACTGTCTTCCTTTATTATTTCTCCACTTCTATCTTGGATTAGGCTGGACTGGCTGGCCAGAGTTCTGGAAATCCAACTGTCTCTGTCTCCTAGTTGTGCTGCACCCAGTTTTTATGTGGGCTCTGGGGATTTGAACTTAGGTCTTCATGTTTGTGCAGAAGCCACTTTAGGGGTTGAGCAATATCCTGATCCAGGTTTTTCTTTTCTTTTTTTCCTTACAGGTTTTGAGACAGGGTTTCTCTGTGGTCCTGGCTGTCTTGGACCTCATTTGGAGAAGTCCATGGAGATCAGAAAGAGGCATCAGGTCCCCTAGAACTGGAGTTACAGATGGCTCTAACTGAACCCATCTCTGTAGATGACCCTCCCATCTGCAGATGCCACTTTCCGGATCTCCTGTTCTAGCGGTCTGAGCTCTGACATGCAAGTTGTGCTTTACCTTGAGGCACTGTAAGTCAAGCTTCTTGTGTTTGGAGTTTACTGAGGATCTTGGATCTGTGAATTCTGGTTTTCAAGAACTCTAAAAATATATGGCAATGATCTCACTTTTTTGTTTTGAGGTAGGTGTCACTATGTAGCTGGGGATGGATGGGGCAGGGGTCTCAGCATGTGTCCTTTTGTGGCAGCTTCCTGAGGGAGTGGTGTGACAGGAGAGGCAATGACAGGTCTCTGCTTTTCAGTGAGGCCCTTCCCTGCTTCCTTTTGGGAAGTCTCTATTTCTTCATTTTCAGGTCCACTACCTTCCCTGCGATGTCTAATAGCTGACAGTGCCATTCAGTGTATTATTTAACTTCATTCTGCAACTTTGATTTGGGGGTTGGAGAGATGGCTAAGTGGTTAAGAGCATTTTTTGCTCTTAAAGGATCTGGGTTTGGTTCCCAGGAGCCACAAAAGCAGCTCACAACTGTCTGTAACTACAGCTCCAGGGGATCCAATCCCTTCTTCTGACTTCTTTGGGCACCAACCATGCACATGGTGCACAAACGTACAGTGTAAGCAAGCACTTATACACAAAATAATCTTAAAAAACTTCAGTTGATTTGGGTCTTTAACCAAACCCTTTCTGTATATGAAGAATATAATCACATCTGTCTTACTTCTTTGATTACTCTAACATCTATGTGTTGATATGATCAATCTCAGCCAGGTGACGCCTTTATTCTTTGCCTTTTTGCTGATACTGTGTATTTAATCTCATCTGAACACTTTTGTTCCTCGTTTATGTGGTGCTTGAGATCAAACCCAGGGCTCTGTGTGTGTGAGGCAAATGGTCTACCACTGAGTTCTACCTGTTGTCTCCGCTGCTTAAAGATTTTTACACTCATGTTGGCTACTTAGTATTTTCACATCGCTATATAATTTCTCACTTGCTCATTTGTTGCTCTGGTGCTTATGGAGTGATGTGAAGCAGCACTCGGTCTCGGAGATTATTTTCTATCACTGAGTACTCTACATGTTTATAGACCTAATCAGATGAACACATGATCAGACGATAATCAGATGCCATGTGAATGATAAATTGTGCCAAGCTGGATATTTTCTTCAGATACTGTCAAATAGCTTCCTCATATGCATGGATCCACTCTCTCAGATCTCTCCTTGACTCACAGAATGCTCTTTGCTGCATGGTATAGAAGCTTGAGCCAGTAAACAGGGATCACTCACGGCAAGTCAGAACTGCTTTCCTTTGCTGTCTGCAGAACAGTATCTTGAAAACGTCACTTTTTGTATTTTGTATGCAAACACACACACACACACACACACACACACACACACATCCGAGAGACTACTTCTACTACTAATAAACAAATCTAGACTATTTAGTTTTCTAATTCTAACATTCATCTGCTTATATACATTTGGGATCTTATATTTATTTTTAGACTACCAAAAGAAGATGCTTCCGCAGCAAATGAAAGACTAACTTAACTACCCATCCCCATTGGTCTTAGGGGAATTGTTATAGTAACTGGATGTTGGACAAACTGTTACTTCTTGCTTCTAATTAGGTCTATAAAACAACAATAAAACACACACAACAAAAAATACTGAAATACTGTACATAACATTTTAAAACGAATTTCTTTGGCCACGATACCTGTGGTATTTTCAGTGTACGGTTCCACCCCTCTGTACCTAACACTCATTAGGTCTCATGACGGCGCTAATCACCTGAAAGGCTGGGACATCTAGACTGGTGGTGCAGTTCATGGAGACATGTCTGCAGCCAGGGGAACACACAGACTGCCTCTTCCCTGTGGGCATGCTTTGGGAAGATGTGCAGTAATCTGAGTTTTCAAATCCACTTATAATTATAATAACAGAAAGTACATTCGTTATGTCCACACTGCTTCTCTGACTCTCGTGACAGCTGGGTAACTTTACAAGAATCTTTATTTACATCTCTGCCCTGGGGTCAAGCTTGCACTCCTCTGGCACATTCTGACACTCTGGACTGGAAAGCTGCCAGCTGCCTTTTTGGTCTTACTGGAGGTACAGCCTCTCTACAAAGAT